AAAAAAAAAAAAAAAAAAAAATTAAATCCCCATCTCCAGGCAGACAACTTTGTTATTATTGAAAAGTCCTCTCAATATTGTTAGTACAAACAACAGGCTTTATTTTTTTAGTTCAGAGCGGCAGCATAGTTAAGGTGGGATTTAAAACCTTGAATTTAGCCAGACGTCAGCAGTACTAAAAATTTATTTAATTTGCAGGGCCCAATTGCATCAAGAAAGCAGGATCCTAAATGGCTCTGAAAGTGACAATCTCAACCCACTTCATGAAATTCAGGAAAAGCAGGTAGCTTTGTTGTTGCTCCTTTTATCTTCAGCACATTTAGTAATGCACCCAGCAGGTACCTGAGTTGTTTCTGACTAAAGAAGAAAAATGCTGAACCACTAAGAAACAGATCCAAGGAAGTCAGTGAATGCTGACTGTGTGATGGCACACCTAGAATGTGCACCAGACTGCAACATGCAAGGAAGGCCCTCCTGCAGAACTGAGTGAATGTGAAGCATCTGGAATAGTATAAGACCACTCATAGGGTGAACCCATGGCGAAAAAGCTTACACCCTCCCATCAACGACCCTTTCTTCCCTCTTTTATAGCCACAACTCTTCCTCCATTAACGGCTTTTCTGTTAGTTATTTGCTGTCCAGTACACTGTGGTAAGACCTTTTGCTAAAATGACTTTAAAATGATTACTATGGGCTATTTTTATTTTCAAAGGAGTTTTGAGGGCCCCTCTGACATACAAACTTTAAATTGTTAAAGGTACACAATTTAACTGTGCAATATCAGGCAGTAAACCTTAGGACTTTCTCAACTTGGTTTTTATCCTGGGGTAGGATGAGGAGAGAGCATTGAAGCCTGTGTGGCATTGAAAACACCCAACCCTCTACCTACGCATATGATCAGCCTTGTTTCTAAGTAAAAACAAAATGTTGTCATGATTTTTTTCAAAATGTATTATCCTCTCAGTTTATAAAAATGATAAATCAATAAAATACCTTGACTTTAAAGAAAGTTCACCTGCTTTGTAGGGGCTTTTCAAAGGATAAACTCATTTTAGGAATGAAGACAGAATGAATTAGCCTGGCTGACAGTAGAAGAATCAGAGGGTGTATACTGGTCAACCAGTTGGCCTACCTTTTGTTGCTCTGCCCTGCAGGGTTCTATATGTTACTTTCTTAAGGCGACAGCAGACCCCCTTTTCCATCTGATGCGGCAAATCAAAGCAGCATTGGTCATGCCCAGAAAATCATCTCACTATTAACCACTGTTCTTAAGAAAATTTTAAAACACAAAAGATGGAGGATATACTTCCCTCCCTTAATAAATGTATTTCTTAAAACATAAAATTCCATCCTTTGTTTTGCAGGACCTACTTGCAGTGTCCTTGGGCTCACTGCCTGCATGGCACTCACTTCCCAGCCTCCTTAGCCCACTTATCTGGCAAGGTCCAACTGGTATGGGTTAACTATGGCTCTAAAGAGTGCAACAGATAGGGGACTGAATTAATGTCTTTTAAGTCATTAAGCAAAAATGATACCGAAGATGGCGAATAAGTGCATACTTTGTGCTAATTCCTTTAAGCTTAACATTGACCCTGCAAAATTTGTGGTATCATCATTCCCGTTTCATTAAGTGGAAACTGAGATTAGGTTAAGAAACTTGCCTGAGTTCAAAATAAAATGCAAACCCAGCCTGTGGGTTCCCACAGGTCCTCTTTTAAGACAATGAATAGACCACTGTACTATTCATTGAAGAGAGGATCATGCCAGGAGCAGTTTTTAAAGTAGAGCATCATACAAAACACAAGGCATTATCATTACTGAGAGAGCAGGAGAAAGGGAAGTAATTTGGTTACTAAAGAGATCCTGGAGCTGCGCTTAGAATGGAGTTGTGATTTGTATTGCTCGTTACAGACAGCAACATCGAGGCAGGACTGATGATAGCAGAATGCTAACTAAGCACACCTTCCAATATTTACACTACAACTTACTGTTTACAAAGCCCTTTTGAACGTACAGCCCACTGCAGAAGCACGTATTTCACATACTCTCATACCCCAGCATGGAAGGAGACCCTCGTCTTGAATTGCTGCCGTTTAAGATCAACACTTTCTGTTTTTTGACCTGGGACCTGTGCTTCATCTCAGGCAGAATTCTTGGGAACAAAAAGTATGCATTTATGCAAATAGCTCCACCAATTTGCGATGCTAATTTGAGCAGAGAGAATCTGGTACCTTACACATTCTGTGAGCCCAGCCAGGGTACAAATTCCCCTGGTGTTTCTTTTTAGGCTAGATGCCCAGTGTGGCAGGACTTGTTTCAAGTGATCTAAATTTAGATATGTGGGCTTCTAAAAAGGGATTGAAGCAAGTTTCTGTATCACTGACTGTTTAAAGACACTCCCCTCCTGCTTGAAAACTGTCACAGTGAATGATTTTTTTGCTAATTGCTTGAATTTTGTAAATTCAAGAATTCAAGTCACACTCATAGAGAGGAAAAATGATACATGTTTTAGGGTGAGGCTTTTGGTCATAAAGCAATAAATATTATGTCTAAGGCAGGTTTTGCAGTCATGGGTGCCTATTTACCAAACTATTTCAATGACTTTTATGTGCTATTTTTTTCCTTAATGGACCTTAATGGCAGTTTATTGTGATACTCTGATATATTTTATTTTACTTTCTAATAACAAGTTTCTAAGCAACTAGTACGTTCCAGAAGCACTGACAGCCCTGTGAACTGGGAATTATGATGCTCACTTTGTAGAGGAGAAGACTAAAGTCTCTGGGAAGAAGGAATCACTTGGTGAACACTGTTTACTTGGAAGGAATATGGTCCATCATGCAGTGGGAAATGCCCAGCCCTGCCCCCAGCCTGGCAACCCTGCCCAGGTTCAGCCAAAACAAGTAAGGCTGTCATGGCAGGAGACATTATGGGCTCAACATGGGGGACAGGCCAGAAAAGGCTCTTGTCTCCAAGTTTCTAAGGCTTATATATTTCAAAGTGAATGAGATAATGATTTAAATGAAGGAAGAGTTGGCATTTTCTTTCACCCCCTTTTGCTTGGCAATGCATAAGCAACCAGCTCGGTCTGGCAGTCAGTTTGTTCTATTGAAAGAAACTGGGCACTCCAGAAAAGCCTGCTAGTCCTTCTGGGAATATCACGGGCGACACCAGAAACCTCAGTGTTCACCCCATTTCCAGGCAGGGCAGCTACATCCAGAGTCACAAAGGTTCATGCCTGTTCTGTGTCTGCCTGGTCCCAAGACCTATGGATCTGTAGAGCAGCCACCAAGGGACCGGCATCTGGGAAGGAGGAATGTGGAGGACTACGTGTCTGGCACTTGGCTACGTCTGCTCTTCCTCCAAAGATTTCTAAAATGTCTATTGTTCCTCAGAGATGTTTTTCCCCCTCTGTAATTAATTACTATGTGGTTGAGAAGATTCACAGACTAGCAGAAAATAGTGAGTGCTGAAACATATGAAAACGATTAGAAAAGAAGTACAATCACGTGAAACCTATAATTCAGTTTTTAAAAAAGTTTACTTCTCCAATGGGAAACACAAAGTAAGAAAATTCAAATCTCCATGGCATTTTAATTCAGGGGAAGTGAATCTTGGTTCTTATTTTATCCTCTTAAAAACAGAAACCCTGGCTTCTTTGGCAGAGCCTTATGGGGGGCTGTAATTAAGTTAACACAATCATAAAATAGAGGAAAAGTAGTTTATAGACTTTTTTTTACTTCAATGGAAACTAATAAATATTAAATGCCACATATTTATTAAGAAGTCCTATCTTCTGTCCCTTGATGCTAAGATATCTCCTCATATTTTGATTCACAGGGAGCTTGGGACTTACAGATTTCTAATCTCGTGACAATGAAATAGCACGTGCTTTGCTCCTTTTTGTATATTGTCTTAAAAATGCTGCAAGGAGGTATTTGAGAATCTTTAGGAGGCAGGCAAACAGAAAAAAATGGCCTACAAAAATAAAACTTTGTTTTTCGTCTGTATGAACCTCCACTGACGTATCACACACCCCCACACTCTCACACTGCAAACACTGACTTTCCCAGCTGAGAAATGGGCCCCAGGAAGTATCTCAGGATTTCACTGTGTCTAAAAATGTGATGCATCCAGATGCTGCATCCAGCTGGATGTCAAAGAAAGGAGCCTCAGGTTAAAATGCATTGACAGACATCAGCATATTTCAGCGATTTCTATTCATATTTTTTGAGACACCAAGAATCCTTTTCTTCTTCATGATATATGCTTCATTCCAGCTGATCAACTATCTCCCACATTAATAGCAGGACTCGAAAATGTGGATAAACTCAGAATAACTCTCACCTCTACTGTGGCTTGCAAAAAGTTAAGTGACAAAAACACGGTCACCCCAGGCTGGTGTCATGGTACGTACAAAGCACTTATGAGTCAGCAAGCAGCTGAAAAAAATCTGCCTCACAAATGAATTCTAGGTGACCGGAGCAGCTATGCTACATTGCTACTGGGACCTTCTCTATGTGCACATCTATCCTGAACTCAATTTTAAGCGCTAACTCTGAAGCTCTCAGGTGCGAGACTATTAACTGATCTGAAAACTTCTGCTTAATAGAGTTAATAAGGATGAAAGGGGTGATAATTAAGCTAGGTAACAGGAAATATGGATGGGAGCAAAAATGGCTATAGATATACTATATATATTAGACATCAATCAGAATTCCATTTATAAACTAACCGGGATCCCATGTTTGTATACAAATGGGAGTTGACACACAAGAGGTCAATGTTTTATTGCAAAATAAGCCTCAGAGTTACTGAAGTGTCACAGAATTTCCACCCTGTGCCCGACTTTTTTTTTTTTTTTTTTTTTGGTACCAGGGATCGAACTCAGGTCCTTGTGCTTGTGAGGCAGGTGCTGGAACCACTAAGCTAAATTCCCGGCTCCAACTTCTTTTCTCTACATCATTATTATGCCTGGATCTACCCAATCAGTTCAGTGCAGCTCCTCACTCACTTCCCTGTGCTCTTTCGGAGGCTCTAAAGACAATGATTATGATGATGACAATGTCCTTAGTAAATTTTGGCTTAAAGTCTTCACACATAAGAAAAATGAAGATATATATGTCAAAGATATTAAGATTAAAATTTAAAATAAATTTATACATTTTTTTTCTGGTACCAGGGATAGAACTCCAGTCCTTGTGCTTTCGAGGCAGGCAGTGGCACCACTAAGCTACATCCCCAGCCCTATACTCTTATCTGTATTATTTAGTACATACACTTCTTGCATCCTGGGCTTCAAGACAGCAGCAGGAAGTCTGGAAAATGGTACATGGGGAGAGGATATTATTCTCGGCATCTGGCCTGGTTTGTGGTATAAGTAGAAGTTGGAGAGATGTAGAAAAAGTACATATCTGACAAATTCTTGGAATCAAAATTCAGAAAACATTTGGATTTTTAGAAAAAGATTCTATGATATAACTTTTCATTATTTCAGAGAGCTGCTTGTAAAACAAGCGTGATATTGTTAGAATTTTCTAGAAGCACATATATGTTTCTAGAAGCACATACATGTTTCTAGAAGCTCATACATGTTTAGGATCAGCATGATTATCTGAGGGACTCCACAGACAGAGAAATACATTTTTGGTTTTTTATTAATACAAAGGCACTCTATGATTAAATCCATCTAAGTCAACACCGGATATTTATTAAGAACTAGACCACTGAAGCAACCACATACGGCGTTGTACTGAGACGTGGAAAATGTTCTGCTAAGTGTGTGGGAGGCAGATGTGGTCCTCTGGCCAGAGCACCTTAATCTGGCCTTAGTTCTTAGTGTTCCTGACCCTCTGTTTCCTTTTCTGAAAAATGAGAGTATCACCTGGCTTCTAGAATGAAATGAAGTGGCAAGTGGAAAAGGAATTTCAAGTGTAAAGTTCCTATGAATGCCAATTTGTGACAGCTTCTCAAAACACTACATAAAACTGCAGAACTGTATTTTCCTGTCGCTTTGATTGTTGAATGTCTCCATCCTGTGTGTAATATGAAGCCATCGGGACTGTATACTAGTGCCTTTGTTACAATTAAGAGAAGTAATTATTCCATTCTTTGTTTTTGAATCAACATGCTTCAGAAAATGAGACAAAGTAAGTCCTACTTACTGCTTCAAAGAAAATTAGTGGATTTTTGTAAGCCAGACTACGTAAAGAAAGCGTGCCCCCTTTCATGACACTGTTTTCTTCTGATGTATGAAGTGACACAGTGAGCCATTTAGGAGTAGTCTGAAAACTAACAAGCCATGAACAACAGAAAAACAAAACATTAGCCAGGTAAATCCTGCAGCCCACGAATGATGGACCACAAGCATATCACCCAGACAAGGTCTTATCAAGCAACAAGGTCAGTCTTTACCTCCAATTAAAATAACCAGGGACTTAGCAGAGACTAGTGTCTATTTCTACTTGTTTAGAGTAGGGGAGAGTGACACACCGGCAAGATCAGGAAGCATGTAAACGACGGAGAGTCCAACTTGCCAGACAGATTCCAAACCTGCAGCCATGCAGAAAGCCAGCCAGGCCAGCCCTCTGGCAGCAGCGCTAACCTGGAAAAACGCTGTGCTGCAGGCAAGACCTTGATTCCAGCTTGCTCTAGCCTTCTGCGCTTTTGGGTTTCAGTAGAATCCTTGTCTTCAGACTTGGGGGCTGGAGCCCCCACAGTCCCCTCTGCAGGCATCCACTCCTTACCACTGCTGTGGGGTGATTCTAGCCCAGTGTCACAAGGCTGACCCCCAGGATACGTGTGGCCAAGAGGGTCTTCACTTGCTTCACTTCCTTCCTCCTCTATAGTTTCAGGATAACTAGTGAGTTGGACAACATGGTTTACCAAACCAACAGACCAGCCTGGGGAGCTAGTCACCTCCCAGCCATTCTGATATTGCCTTCCTCTTTAAAAAAATGTCATCACATCATAGCATGCAATATAATCTTGGTAAAGAGAAGACAATTAAAGGCATCCACTTGTTAATACAATGCATCAGAATCTAAATATTCAGGGCTATTCCAAACTTGATTTTGAAAGGAAAAAACTTTTTCTGTAAGAAGGGAAAATTCATTAGTTTGTTTACAAAATGTTTATTTAATGGAAAATCATAGCAAAAACAAGCTACAGTGTAATACCTTTATTAGAAGGTTATTTAGGGCAAAGACTCTATCTTATTTATTACTGAATCCTCAAAGCATAAAGATAGTACCTAGCACATAGTAGATGCTCAGTAAATACTTGCTGAGTAAATAAATACATAGAGATTAAGAAAACTACTGCTTGTTTCTCTAAAGAGGTGAGATATCCAATGTATTTTCCATTTATTATCACCATTTCTATGTATGATTATGAAACATATGCCATGCATTGCTTACACACTTGAGCTTAGATCTAAACGAACTTGCACTGAGATTTTTTTGGCATAGAAAATGTCCTCTACAGCTAACAAGATCAAGAGTCATTTTTTCACAGAAGGAGGAAAGACCTGTTCTCCTTGCCCTTTCAATATAACTGGCTTCAAACATCCTTTCCTTAGACAAATACTAGACTTCTACTGTGTGCCAGGCACAGATGAAGGCATTCTGTTGGAGCTGTCTTTGGCTCACAAGCAACTCTCTCCCAGAGTCTGTCGTGCCCACCTCTCTGTGTATTCTTACACTGAAGGTCTGAATTAGATATCTGACCTCATCCATGGCCAGGAGCTTCAACGGGAAGGGAGCAGCAGGGCTCAGCCTTACCTGAAGGGCCGCTCCCCGCCCAGGGGGGAGGTGGCGGTGCTCCAGCTCTTCCGGTATTCCTCTCGCTCTGCTTTCTTCTTTCTCAGAGGAGCAGGGATATAGGCCGTCTGGTTGCTTTTATTCGGGAGGTACTGGTTAAAAGGCACTGCTGATTTTGGCTCACCGTGGGAAGTCCGCCGCGCAGACATGTCATCTTTCTTCACATCTGGAAGCTTCCGGTGCGGCAAGTCGGATTCAGAGTCACTTCCTCTCCCTGGGGAAGAGAGGATGGATGCTGAAGAAGTAAGTTTGGGTACCAGAGTGCCCAATGGCACGTCCACAGGACTGGGGATGTGTTTAAATAGTGGGTTCTGGGGATTCCTTCCTTAATCACCTAACAAAGCTAAAATGGTAGTCTAGCTGGGGATTTAGCTCAGTGGTTCGGTGGCCTGACTTGCAAGCACAAGGACCCGAGTTCAATCCCCGGTACCAAAATAAATAAATAAAAATAAATAAATAAAATAGTCTAAATTGGTCTACAATTCTGCAAAAATTACAGAATGCTCTGCAAAAAGCTCTCAATTTTAACCAGGAAAAAATAAAATGCAAGCAACAAAATTAAAAATAAAATAGAGGTAAGCCTAACTGTATCTGGAAATTACAAGCAACACATTTCCAGTAAAATTATATGCCTATCAAGATCCTGTGACTCAAAAGAAAAAAATACCAATTCACCAAAAGAGTTTTTACCAAGTTCCTGCTTCACATTTTACACTATGCCAGACATTCTGACAAATAAGAATTATACAAGATTTTATCTTTGAAGTACCTTTAACCAAACCATGAAAATACCTACAGGATTTAAGTTATAACCCAGGAGCAGAGAGATAAAGAGCAATAGGAATTCAGAGAAGCAACCAATTTAGATTATCCCGAGGGTGTGCCTTCCAAGAAGCAATGGCAAGTCCCCCCAAGATGGAGCTTTCTCTGGCACCCTTAGCTGGAGACAATCTCTCCTTCCTGCGATTTTTATGGTCCTATGATCCTGTGTTCCCTTCTGGGGCATTATCTTTTCTACCTTATTCGTGGAGAACAAGAGCTAAAGTGGTCAGAGTATTTTTTCTTAACCACTTTGCCTTTGCACACAACACTCATCTTCAGATTATTTGATGAATAAATGGTTTTGTTTGGCTTGAAGAGTGGCTTAGATAATACAAAGGCATTCAGTGTTGCCAACATCAGCCTTCTGTTGGATAAAAGCCCCGATAATTATACATATTCTTCTTTCCTCGTTTCCTCATTGCATTTCTAAGACCTATTAGAATGAAGCTACCATTATGACAAACACTATCATATAAGTCACTGACACTTTGATGTTGATGGAAGATTCTTAATGAGTGACATCATTACATTGTCATTCTGTAGATAATATAAAAATGTATCTATTTATATTTAAAAAGAGAGCCTTCACCTAAGAGCCACAGTGGTAGCATGGCATAGAGGTTTATGTCAGACCTATTTCATTTTGAGTTCTGCTACTCATCAGGCTCATAGGAGACTTTGCACATATTATTTCACCACTTTCAGCCCATTCTCCAGTCTGTAAAATGGGATAATAATATTTATTACCAGCTTTATTGGACTGTCGGGATGATTGTATCCATAGAAAACTATCAGTACAGTACTTAGCACCAAGTGTTCAACAAATGCTGCCTTCTTTCTCTGTCCTAACAGTTCTGGAGCTACCAGAAACGAGCTGTGGGCTCCTAGACACATTGAACATGCTTTACTCTCTTTTTCTGTAAAACAGGGATAAATGATACAATAGCTTTTAAAAGACAGTAAAAGTTAAAGGCACTGCCCATAAACAACTTGCTCATTGTTGTATGTGAAATATTCAGCTTATGAATTATTCATGCAGCTTGCTTTCAGTCCCCTTCTGAAATTTTGACCCTTTCATTACTTGTTGGTATTCGAGTATTGTCATTCATTACTTAGACCCTTCCTATTTCCAAGTCTTTTAACTGTCTCAGTGTAATAAAATGTTTACAGCTCCCTGTGAATCACTTTGTAAACAAAAGTAATTCCATCTTGTCTTGCCACACTCATAGGTTTGTTTCCCCACTTGACGTTATTCCCATTTTATTAACATGGAAAAAAGCTCAGAGAGGTCAATAGGGCCTTCTCTCCATGGCTGGGTAGTGACAGCTCTGAGAATCTAGTTTTTGTTCTCTGGACTCCCAAAGATCTTTCCTTTGTAACACACTTCTTTTGGAAAAATGCTCTCTGCTTATAGTATCCTGACTAGGGGGAGGTGTTACATTGTACTGAATAAGTGAATGAAAGAATGGTTCTTCAATCTACTATAAAAGTTTGGTAATGGATTACAGTTGTCTCAGGTTCTCCAATTTAAAAACCCTATAATATATGAACCTTATTTATGTACAATATTTAAAATATGTCTATAACATACTGATTAAAGGTCTCAAAAGGTTGTCTCACACATTAAGCACATCATTTTTGCACGCAATTATTCTTCGATTAATGTCTTAGACATTTCAAGAAATGTTAGCTTATAAATGTCTCAAGGCAGGTGGCTCAGTTGAAAGACATGTAGTCTCATGTGTTTAAAAATTACACTCTCACTTCTGCTCTGTCACGCAGGAGTCCTGTGACCCTGAGAATTTAACCTCTTTGTACCTCAGGTCTTCATGGCATGCACAGAGATAATAATACCACTTTCCTGGGATATCACGAAAAAAAGTGAGACGACAGGAGGTGCCTAGGAAGAGATGCCATGGTATGCTTTCTGTAGGTCATCTTATCTAATGTTAGGACTTAAAAAGATTTTGATTTCACTTCATCTTACCAACATGGGTATTTACTAGGGTGGATTCTTCATGTATATTCAAAGTTAGAAAATGAAACAGCAGGGATGATGATATTATTTATCAATATCTGATCATCCTTTCCATGAGGCTACTTTTTGCTCCTTTCCAGCAATCAGAGGACTCTCTTTCTTTAAACATATCTTTGTCATACACAGTATAATCCCGATACTTCGCTCTTGAATATTCCTCTTCCACTTTAATTTCTTCGTTCCTTTTATCTCTTTTAACATCTTTCATATAAAAGATAAGAATACTCACTTAACACAGGGCACCATATTTATAAAATATGGCATTAATTTTAAAGTAACTGAGTTGAAGATTTTGCATTTCCTCTCTCATGAGACCCATTAAGTGCCTAGTGAAGGTGAGAGGAATTGGGCACCTAACTAGAAAGAAAGCTTTGCTGAATCAACCCAGGAGATAGACAGCATTCCCATTAGGAAGCTCTGTGTCCAACTCAGAACTATGGCACCTCTTATGAGTGTACCTTTTGACTGTCTGTTTTTGAAAGTAGCAATGGGTATCAATAATAAAAGGTCTCCATTATTGATCCAATATAGTGTTGAAGAATTTCATGGAAGGACTGTGTCTAATTGGTTGTGAGTCCTAGAAAATAAATTTTCAAGACTTAAAGTTTTCCAAATTTGGAAGTGTTTATCGGGACTAGCAATCTTCTTCATTAGCATCATTTGAAAAATGCATACCATAAATTTATGAAATCCAACATGTATTTGGCTAAAATTATACTCTTTTTTTTAAAAGGCAGATTAAAAATGTGTTGTTTTCTTTCAAAACCTCATTAGGTCTTGATTAGTTTACAGGAACATAAGCCTTGAGGTATCAAGCTGATTGGTATAAGGTACTCTTTCATGATGGTGTTTCATAGAGCTCAATTCCACATTATTCTTTAGAAGGGGAAACTGTTGATAAATAGACTCTAATTTACCAATCTTACTTGCTGCAAATTAAAATGTGCTCAGTAAACATTAGTATAATATTAGTAATCACCATTTCAAAATCTCAAATCCCTTCAAAATATGGTTTGTTAGAAATTCTGAACCCCTTGAAGCTGGTGACAGAATAAAGGGTCTATATTATGAGTTACAAAACATCAGTGTGGAAAAAACCAAGGTTTTTCTTAAAGCAATCAAAACAATATGGATGAAATAGCTTGGTTAAGATATATTTTTTAAAAGCAAATTTACTATGTGGTTATGTTAAAGCCTAATTAGATCATGGAGTTGGTATTTAACTTCAAGTACCGTGGGTGGTATTTCAGATGTCACATAAAATTTTAGAGATGTTTTTCAATTGGCTTACAATGCACCATGGAATTCTTTAGGAGTCACACAGTATATGGCCCTGAGGTAAATATATTTGCTAGAAAGTTTAAATCCTAAACGGAAGCATCAGTTCAGTCATTTTAGAATAAAACATCTATTATACAAAGATAAATTACGCTTAAGAGTATAGTACATTTGGGGCTCACATTTTTTGAGGCTAATACTACTAGTCTATTTTACTGACAGTAATTTTTGCCACCCCAAAATATTGGGCCAATTACTTAACACCCTGAAGGCTCATCTGTAAAATAAGGGTAGGAAGGAGAGTCTCCAGCTGCACAGGGAACTAAGTGAGATCCTAGGACTCTCCAGCTGCAATTAAACAAGACGCTGTATGCTGAGTAATACACTGAGAAACCTGGGTACATTAAATACGCAAGTGTTGTCATATAATTTTATAGCCAAAAGGGGTCTTTCTGATCTCAGAGAGCAGGCCTGTTGAGATAATACCATCAACCAAACCATACATTAAAAAAATAGAGACAATTAAGTTTCTACTAGCCTTGGTATCTTTCTGGAAAGTTTATGCATACAGAGTCAAGGCACATTCACTTTGTACAAGCACAGAAGTGCAAGATAACTAAGGTAAGTGGCTTCTAAAAGGTGGGTACTAAATTTATATCAAGTTACAGGACCACACATTTTTATAATGAGAAATGATCATTCCATACATGTGGTTAAAAAAAAAAAACCCATGGGATTTAAATCAAATCCAGTCTCAGGGCAAACAGGCAGCTCAGGTTGTGCATTACACATTAGCAAGCACCTGCATTGTGACATGTAACCAGACAGATATCAGAAGCATAAAACAGACTGCCAAAGTCATGCCATCCTAAGCTTTGGAACTTTCATAAGCATAAGTGAAGCTGGAAGCTGGTTCATTTTCACTTAGACAGTGGGGTTCTCACTCCAACATTTCCCTTTCTCATACCTGAGTATATAAACTTCAGCACACTTCATGAGCTAATGGTCTGCACAATGTCTTGACTTACTTAGGCCAAGGGAGAAATGATGTAACATATTTTCCAATAGGAGATATGCTCAGTCAGTCAATGTTCAAATAAACTGCTAGGGACGCCAAACAAAGTTCTGAGAACCATACAAACCAACATTCAAAGACTTTTCCCACCAGCTGATAGAATTACTGGATTCCAGCAAGGTGGGTATGGAGTCTGCCTTCCCAGCAGACTCAGAATTGCCAATAATTAATTCTGAGATTTGTGTCTTACGGAGACCCCAACCTACCATCGCTGCTTCCCCTAAGCACTACATCTGGCGAAGGTGTCTGCCGGGAGCGGGAGCCGAATGAGTCCAGGCTGTCGAAGGAATCATCCCTGCCGTGGCGCGGAGGGGAGAGGGAATCACTGCGCTCAGAATCCCAGCAATCAATGTAGCCACTGTCTCGGATGCTGCGTTTAGGACTCTCAATGTCATCAGTCTCCTGCTCCAAAACAAAGCAAAAGGATTACAAACATTACTTTAACAGACACAGAGCCTACAAGAGCAGGAAGATGTGTTCCCAAAATCCTGCACATCAAATTAGTATGGAAAGGCTGTGGCAGCCATCTATGGGAGTGATTAGCAACTACCAGTGATGGTTCCATTCCCTAACCCTTCTCTGCCACATTTTCTTAACCTGAAAATCATGTACAATGTTAGAAACAATCCTTAAGTATCATACACCATAATGTTCAAAAAAGGGGAAAAAGAATTAAGGATAAAGGATCACAAGGTTTGGATTTACAAGAATGCAAGGATCATAACAAAGAGGCAAAACCTTAACCTTGACTTGTTTTTCAGAATCCATAACTGCATGTCTGTCCCCGGACCAAGCCCCTAGTTTAGCCAGGCAACTGCTCCTGCTGTCTGGCAAATGCAAGCAGCATTTGTTTTTGCAGCAGAATCAGCTCTGTAAAATCCTGGAGCAGCATGTTTCCATCTTCCGCTACCTTGGAGGGAAATTCCTGCTCTGAAAGAGAGCTGTCTTTCTGAGGCAAAATGTTAAAAAAAAAGGCAATGAAAAATATGCAAAATGCTTTTCCTGATGCCTCAAAAGACTCCAGGCATGCTCTCACTCTCGGCCAGCTCTCCGCGCTGAGGGAGCCGAAAGCACTTGGGGCTGACCCACATGTTCGGAGCAGTGAGAACAATGGCTGTCTTTGACAGCCCGTGATTATAAATTCTTTCCAGCACAAGCGTCACATACTAAAACACTGAAACTCCAGCAGAAGAAAGGTCAGTCAAAGCCATCCTCACCCTCGGATTATAATAAAAGCCTTATTCCCGCCAATGTCTTAGCATTCGTTACAATAGTCCAGGCTGGCGAAAACAAAAATAACTCCAGTCACTCAAAGATAAACTTCAGTTTAACATCCTCTAAACTGTTGCTTAAAATCAGGACTGTGGATAACACCAGCAGAGGGGCATGTTCTCATCTGCAAAGACGGAATGTCACACTGGATTTCCCAGAATACACATGAAGGTCCCTTCTGCATTCCCAGTCCAAAGGATAAATAAATAAATATTCTCTGTATTAGCAGTTTTGGAAACTGGTCTGGACTGTCTAAGATGCCCATGGGAGTCATTGCCTTTGTAGGAAGTGCCTTTGCTGGCTGCTTCTATCAATTATATCTGGGTCCTCAGACACATTCCCCAGTGGGAGGCATTTGTGGGGACGGAGTGGCTGTAATTCTCCAGGCATACACAGCTTTTGCATCAAAAGAGGGAGTGGGTAAGAGGACACAGGCAGGCAGAGAGGAGGCCCCTGAAGCCTCCACAGAGGACCTGATTAAAGCCCCCTGAGGAATAGGTTGTCAAATAGCCTGAGTGAGCACAGATGACATGACTCTCCACAGGAAGGCAGAAACTCCAGCTATGGAAATTAAGGTAGTTTACTTGTAGGTCTAAAGCTAACCAGGACTTGGAACAAAAACCAGGCCCAACAGCTGAAAAGTAAGAACTTGTAACTCACTGAAAGTATAGACCTACATCAGATATGGTTTTGAATTGAATTTCTTTATAAATGCAAATCATCACCTTGAAATATTTACCTATTGAGAATAGGCCATATGGCTAAAAAAGGGAGGTAACTTTTATTGATCATTTGCTCTCTATCTAGGGCTGTATGTGATATTTTTTGTACATGTTGTTATTCAGTCCTCACAGCCACCCAAGAATCAGACATTGAGTAACTTGACTGAGATTACACAATAAGTGGTAAAGCTGTGATTGTAAAACAGGATTCTGGCTCCAAATTCCAAATGGTAAAACCTAAAAAGTGTCAATCATCTTTGATGTAGTTCCAGCCATTCCATCAGATCTTCTTCTCTACCATCAGAATATTCTCTCCCACTGGGTACTTGCAATCTCCTTTCTCTAGGGATGGTACTAACCTGGATTATGTCCCTAGCTAAATGTTCTTTATGGCTAGCTCACTGAACTATAAATCTTGCACAAGAAACACCACTTAGGGTAGTGCTTAAGAGCATGGTACGGAAGCCAGACTGAGTTTAAATCTTGACTCTACCCCATGCCAGCTGTGTGATCTAAGGCAGGCTATTTTACCTTACTAGTCCTCATCTGTAAAATGGGGCCGGTAATAACACTTCATGAGGAAGACAGGAGAGTTAAATGTGTTACTATATTGAAAGCATTCAGAAAAATGCATAATACAGAATAAGTAAAAGTATCAGCTATGGTTATAATTCATATCATTTATTCACCAGGCATATAAATTTCTACATACAAATTGCACACTTATAAATTGAGTTAGGAAAATAACTTTACACACGTGGTAATCTTCTCTCTCCACCTCCATTTATACCCCATATCTACACGGCCTGGGACCAGTTTCCCATCAGAGAGGACAGACTCTCAGGAATGTGGGCCACTGGTCGCATCTGGAAGTGACATGCCGACAAGCTGCTTGGTGCAACATTACAAAACTGGATTGAGAAAATATCAGAAAGGTTTTCCCCAAGGTCCGTCCACTCCCACCCCACAAACCACAGGAGAAGAGCCAGGAAGAAAGGGAAAGTCAACATGTTTCTTGGAGCTTCAGCTGCTTTCTCACAGCTGGTTATGCGAAAGAAAAACAGAAAGGCCACCATGTTCATGATTGTGCAGAAAGCCAAGAATAAATCCTTGGGTCCAGTGCATGGGCTGGGAGCTGAGTGGCACAGCCAGTCTGAATAGTGAAAACCAGGCCATCGTGGCTACCCACGGCCAGTCTGGTGCCCTGGGAACTTCAGGGTGAAACAAGAGGCTCTTCACCAGAAATAATGATGAGGACATCCATGGCACACACAACTTTGCTGGCCTTTATTAAGTCACCTAAAATGAACTTTTTGGGGAGGGGAGAAAATATAAACTTTCACGAAGGGTGATACAGTCTAAGCTCTCCTTTCATGGGGTCTAATTACATTGTCTGTGCTTTTCACTTGGAGCTGGACAGCTTTCCTTCTCCAACAGAGCACTCTGAGGAAAGGAGTTAAGACTAAATTCAGTCTATTGCACTAATTGGGGGTTGTCCTAGTAAGAATGTGTTAATAAAAAGGGGAGAACTACTAGCTTCCACGAAATCTTTGTATCATTTCACTTTTTGTCCTTTCTCTATCCCCTCTGTAAGAAGGATCAGTGGATGTCTTAGGGTATCTGAGAAACCCCAGACACCTCCATGTTACCACTCAACATTTCCTGCTTCCTTTGTGATTTACAGTATAAGGTAGCTAGGTCCTATTCTAGGTGTCATAGGGTTCTAGTTTTCCAATATGATCACTGATTCTCCACCCACTCTGATTGTGGGAATGATTCACCCCACAAACGCCGATTCAGCATGTTCCATGGGTCTGATACTTTTCTAGTCCTGGGGACACAGTGTTATGCAAAAATCAACATACCTCCTATTCTTATGGGCATTATGTTCCAGTAGGGAAGATAAAAAGTAAGCAGAAATCCACCATGGACACAAAGTTGGGTGATAAATACCATAAATACCATGAAAAAAATAAGGCAGGTTGAGGGAATAGAAGCTGATAGTGGCGCTATTTAGGGTCTGCATTTGTTTGCCCACTCTGCTCTCTCCTCTTTATTCCTTCTTTCTGTTAATGCCCTCACCTCCTGAAATAGAGGTAGGTTAGGCCATTTACAGTGGTCACAGTGACTGGTATAGGAATAGGACAGCACATCCCCAGGAACTGTACATCTGGGGCTATGGGAAATGTTCTCTCGCCTTTCTGGGGAAGGAGTTAGAGGGAGGTAGCCTTGGAGATTCTGTAGGCCCCTTTCAGTATTATAAGGGCATATCTACCTATAGGGGGAGAATGAAATCAAGGTTCAGTCCGAAGAAATGAGCAAAAAGACACAGAGGAAGAACCAAATTGCCGACCTTGCAGCTCCAGTCCCTGAGATTTCTATGGAATCTCTTCAATCTCAGTATTTTGTAGTAAAATTTGTTCAACTTTAGTGCTCCTTTTCTGGGTAGGCCTTCCCTGACACACCCAAGCCCAGTGAAAAGCCACTGTCACCCTGCTTGCAGAGACCCTCTGTGCAGGCAGCAGCAGCAGCAATATGTGAATATCTTCTAGAGAGAGTCTACACAGAGGGATTTACATGCATTAGGCACATGGCAGATCTTTACAGCTGCCGTATAGTTAATACTTCCATGTACATTTCTTTCACTAGGAAAATGAATGTAAAAAATTTCTGACTATTCTGCTTTATTTTGAAATTCATTTCAGCTTAAAAAAAAAAATCCATGACTTTAGACTGAAATAAAGTCCACTTATTCCATGTCTTTATGTATTCTGCTTTTTTTCTTTTTTGCAGGTAGGTATGAATATGTGACTAAGTTCAAGCTTTAAAAGGATGTACACAGTATGTTTAATGCTGCCATAAGAGAATGCCACATACTAGGAAATTCACAAGGAAAATTTTATTTCTCATAGTTTGGAAGGCTGAGAAGTCCAATATCAAGGTACTGCCATCTTGTGAGCACCTTCATAACAAGGCAGAGGGCATGATATGGTTAGAGAGTACACGTGCAAAAGTGAGGATAATGAACCCTCTCTGGGAATAGTAGTATTTGTGAGGGTAGACCCGCTGTGACCTAATCACCTTCTGAAGTTTCCACCTCCCAGTCTATCACAATAGCAATTAAATTTGAACATGGATTTGGCAAGGGACATTCAAATCATAGCAGACATATAGCATGTAACATCCCAGAAGTTTAAAGGGAAAACAGAGACCCTGTCCTCCACTCTTCCTTTCTCTTGACATGAATATGGATACAGCAGGAAAGCCTGAGCAGTTATCTTGAATCAGCAAGGGAGAATCCATGGTGGTACAAAAGATAGAAGATCCCAGGCCTCCTGTCATGAGACAGACCTGGAATGCCCACCTCAGCCTGGACTTCTCCTGTCCAGGCTTCATTCATGAGTTAGAGATAAATAAGTACCTTATTTTAGCTATTATTTGGAGTTCTTTCTCATTTGAACCCAATCCTAAGTGATAAAATGAGATAATAATTTATAGATAAAGCAACCATTTCTAGCTGCTTGGGTGGACCAGTGAAGCTCAGGCCATTAACCTTCAACTTTGCGCAGTGACAGGGATGCAGCGCAGTTGGCCACGTTGGTGACAGAAGTGCTTTGTTTAGGGATCTGAACCACATCAGGTAAATAAAGAGGGTAATGGCTGTTAATATTACGTCACTTCACAGGCAGTCTCAGTAGAAAGGGAAATGAGAGTTGAAGGAACCAATAGCTGGTCAGATTATAGAGGAGCTAACTGGTGGTAAGAATGTTCAATAATGAGAATAAACCAGATTCTAAGAGAATCCAGCAGGGAATTGTGAGGTAGAGCTTTAAAGAGCTTAAAACAATGACACATGCATTACTACTCAAGTCCAAATTTAACATTAAAAAAACAAACATATAGACATCTCACATCCAGCCTGGAACTTAGCTTTGTAGTTTTGCTAAGAATAGAGTGAGAGGAAAAACTAAAGGACAAACAAGAACTAGAACTAAGAAACAATATGTTGTGTCTTGTTGTGTGGATGTGTTTATTTTGACAAGAATTAAGTTTAAAAAACTTTGTTTATATGAGTCATGAGCAGTATGAGAGCTTTGTCTATTTGTCAGTACATGAGCCAGACTGGCTCTGGCCAAATGCAGACTATTAGTTTTAAGATAAGTAAATTATTAGAAAGGTGGAATTAATTTCTTGCTTTAAGAATTAAAAGTTGTAAAGCACTGAATATCTCTCTCAGTGAGGTCTTATTAGTTCTTTTATTTTGCATGTCAGAGAAATGCAAAAGAGAAAATCCTCAACTACTGTTTTAATATATGCCAATCCAAAATACACGGATGCAGATTATTAATACTTTGGACAAATTAGATACATCACTAAGCCTTGGGAAAGAATATGCAGGCAAATACACACAAAGTATTCCACCGTTTCCTTGGTAAGTTCCTATCTCAGTCTTTCCCATAATTAAATAAATAAATCAAGCTTTTAATAATGTTCAATCAAAATGTTTCATCAAATAAACAAATCAAGCTTTACAAATATTTTCCAAGTTTCTAGGCCATTCAAATCCAAAGGCTACAAGAAACACGTATCAGAAAAGAAAGCTCCTCATTCACCAGAGCTCGTCTAGGGCAAGTGCCGAGGCGAGAACTTGGCTGGCACTACTCACCCACGTCAAGGCTCTGATGGGCAAGCAGAATGACCTTTAGGCTGAAAGTGCAGAGCACATGTGCATTTTTGTATAATACTGCATTGTGTAATTCAAGCATTATTCCTCCAAGAAAACAAGCTCCTTTGCATACAAAGCCATATACTGAGAGATTAAATTTGCTTTTTCGGGATTAAAGTTGGGTCCAGCTCGTATCTTCCATTCTCCAAAGGGCATTAAAGTTCAGGTAGGTATGAGACATATGAGGCAAAGACATCATTGCTAAGACAAACGGTAATTTCCTTAAATATGTGAGTGACATCTTTGACCTGTACATTTCACCACATGGAACGGTAATAATTTTAACAAGAAGGAAAATGTGTCCCTTTCCCACCTTGTCTAAACCTCATGGAGAAAGAAGAAAATCCAAGCTACCTTTCTCATCTGAGCCAACAATCCTTCAAACTCCTTCAGGTTCAGTGTAGTACCACTGTAGGAAGTACAGCTGTTTGCAGCTTTTCCCAGCCAGTAAATGGTTACTAATACCTGTGGAAGAAAACAATGCACCTGAGCAGGCGAACATGCCCTCCCCGATGATGCTTACTCTGAGGAATCAGTAGTGCTTTACTAACAGGCAAAGCTGACTTACAAAAACTTTCATGCATTAAATGGAAAATTATTTTAATCAGAACCACTCAATACTATCTCAGTCAACAAAACCTGAACCAGGAGTTACAGTAAGACTCCAGTTTTAGGAAAAGATAGGTTGAGAAAGAGATCCTCAAAATAGCAAGGAGGAAAAGTAAATCCTCCCAAATTATTTTCATGTAGTGAAGGTTTCAAAATTAGGCAGCAACATTTTTCAGAAGCTCTTTGGAGTTTTTATACAGACAAAGTAATAAAATAGATGCTCAATTCCCTTGAAAGAGGTGATTTTGAGAGTCCACGGTTTCTACTTTTGAACTCAGAGGTTCCACTGAGAATAATGGCAAAAATCCCAAAGAAGTTATAGAGGTTAATTAGCACTTCCCAGTACAGAATCAACACAATATATTGGATTAACACTAGAGAAGCAATGTAGGGACAAATATGATCTGCAGATACCTCGCTTAGGACAGATTAAGATAGACTCCCAACATGGAGAATTTTTAGCCTTGACATGGTTCTACCAATGAGGTAACCTTGGATGTTTAAGGATTTCTATGAATATTCAATGGTCTCATGCTACAGTCTTAAATTAATTTTGTTATGTCTTTCCAAAGAGCCTGTGCACAAGAGCAACTGCTCTTCTCATTGACTCCCCACAGGAGTCACCTAAGATGAACTCCTTAGAGCTAACTTATGAGAACCTGAGGCCAATGTACAAACTCAGACTAGTATTATATTTTCAACTTCTGTCTTACTGCTTCAACAAGGCTGGAAAGGACTTATTGTAACTCATTCCACTTGGTAGGCCAGAAAATGCTTTGGACAAGGTGATACAGGTCTGTGGTTCCAGCTGGCTGCAGGCCCAAAATATGGTTATGTGGGTCATTGCTAGGATGTGACTTTGTTTTCTACCTCTGTGGGAAAATTTTATATCAGGAATCCTTTAAAACTTCCAGAGGTCTTTTATTAACCTATTGCTTATAAATAAAATTCTAGAAAACATACAATTCCAAATGTTAGGATACTAACTAGGGCTATAAAATAACTAATGTGTACAGGGTATGAGCCTGTTTTAGAAGGTATGGTAAGGAAATGGAAGTTAGACCATGCTGTGGCTTAGATTATGGTTTTTCTGATTTACTTAAAATTGTATGATGAAAAAAATGGTACATTTCTCTAGTTGAATGAAGGAAGAAAAAGAAGATAAAAATGAGAATGTCAATCAAATAACATTTGGGAAATTTAAAAAAATAGGTCACAGCTAAGTTTTCTATTTTAGATATGGGTTACTTTTTACATTTCCCAATTTAAATTTAAGATAAAAAGCATGAATACACTTGCTACTTGAAAATAAGATTTAAGTACAAAAAGTTGATTCAGTCAAGAACCAATAATAACTCCAAAGATAAACAGGAAAACAAAATACAAAAAAGACAGGACCACAGCAGACAACTCTGTTCACAGAATGCCAATCCTCTCCTGAAACAGTTTGCCCAACTGCTTAATTTAATAATCCCGTCTGGGCCCACAGAGGGAAATCAGCTAATGTTAGTGTTGAGCTCATCATTTTGTGTTTTAAGAAACTGAATCACAAACAGAACACAAGCTTCCATTTGTTTATTTCTGGACGGAGCACTTAATTAATTAGAGAGAAAATCTCTCAAATCTATTGCTTTTAGTTCCATCACAGTCATTCAATAGAGATCTACGCATTTCTTTTTCTGAGAAGGACTCTTCCCAGGAAATCTATGAGAATCATGGAATTTAGATACATTTTATATTGTACTTGAACCATTAAAGTTAGAAGGATACAGAGGGAAGTCAAAACACTTACATTTTTCAGCTTCCTCGTATAATCAGGATTTCTAGGTTAGGAAAAGGAAAAGAAATGTTATCAGATTAATCATATCTTCACTGTGATTGTTCCTTAAATACCTCTGAGATATACTTGAAGTAAATACATAAAAGGACATACAAGAATATAGTTAGTTTTTCAAGGCCTATGACTTGAGATTTCAGGAACTGAATAAAATTGTTTACCAAACAAATATGACAAGATTGGGGAAAAGTTCCACCATGCAACATGAAAAATGAACTTTGTTCCGTCTGGAAAATGAGGAATTCTGTTTAGAGTTGCAACTATTTACATTTGAATTTTGAGAGCTCAGCAGCTGAAAAGCCTGCCTTGGGTGAAATCTGACTGCATTACCGAAATCTTTAAGTACTTGTAATAGAGGTCTGAAACCTTATTTAAATAGATCCGAAGTTATGTGTACCAGAAGCAATACTATCCAAATATTTGTCCTTTTCTGCTTTGGACATAAATTAACACTGGGAATTAGCCCAAATGAAAATATGCATGTTATGTCCACACACACACACACACACACACACACACACACACACACACGTACACATTCTCAAGCATACATACATGTTTATGCTTAAACTATAAATAACAAAAGTGTATAGAGAAACATTAAAATTTTTCCAAAATTATTTCAAAGTTACATTAACATGTCAATCAGTAAACACTAAAAGAATTGCTGCATCCTTTTCTCCATAGTAACTTCATTGAGGAAGGCGGGAATGTAGAGATTCTATCAAATAAATCAGTAAAGTAGTTAGATTCCAATTAATTCACTGCAGTGTATTCTGATCCAAAGTCCAAGTGAACAAATAGGTAAGCAACTTCAAGTTAATTGAGAGTCAAAGGACTAGAAAACAATGCCATATACTAGGGAGGAGATAATCCCATCATCAAACACTTAACATTAAAAGAAACATTGATCCAATTTGGATTTAAGAATATATTTTCATGTTTTTAGTTTTAATAGAAAAGTGGTGTGCCGTTAATAGAAAAAAGATACAATTATCTGCTTAGATATCTGCTGAATATTTTTTTTCACTTAACAAACAGAAAAAAAAATCTATAAAACTCTAAACTTTTTATGAAAAACTAAGGCCACTGACCTAGGGAGCTGCAGACCTAGGGCTGCATACTGATTTCCCAAGGCCTAGTTTTTATATATAATCAATAAAAGATATGTTTTATGAATTTCTAAAACCAATCAGCCATAGACTCCCCTAGTTTAGTAATTTATTATAGAAAGTGGCTTCCAAAAACCCAAATGCAGCTGCCAACACTCAGAGTGAACTTTCCTTCACACGCCAAGCAGTGTGAATGGCTAATTATTGCCCAAGACACTGCACAGTTCTTATTGTTTCTGGTCATTCACCACCAGGGGAAACCGTGAATGTGAGATGAGGCAGAACCTAAAACAATTTCCCGAAATGAACAATGATTTACAGAGGCCACATTTAGGTACAGTAATAAGTGGAGTACTTGATGTGTAAAATGAGGACTGTGGTGGTTTTTATACTCAAATATCCTAATTTTTGTCCAGTGATTTTTCTACTTAACATTTTCCATGAGAAATATTAAAAAATGGCACATTGACAACAGACAACTAATTTTAGATGATCAATCACAGTTGACTCTTCCTTATTCCCAGTCATGAATTATAAAATCCAATATAAACCCCCAAGCTTTATTTCATTAATAGATTCCATCTCCTCCATATTCTCATTATATTGTTATTATTTTTGTTTTTTGTTTTGAAATCAATATCAGCAAAGAATTAACAGCTCTGACTTTTGGTTTCTCTTCCTTTTCTGTTCTTCCATAATAAAATGACCCCAAAAGTTACCAATCCCCAGACCCTATCTCTGCAGTTCTACTTATTAGTAAAACATATTCATGTTAAATGGTGTTTAGTTAAGGTGGAAAATATTTCATAGAAAATCAGCAGGATCCGAACACCTAAACTACAAGAAAGTAACTTCGGCCATCTCATCAGAATGTTTCCTCTCCATACCCTACTCATGAGCGATTTCGTTCCACAGAAGTACACTGCCTTTCCTTTCACTCTGACGTTCTTCTCCGGGAACATTTGGACTCCAGATCTGGCTCCCTGAGTAGATACAGTTAACCTCAGCCAAAGGGCCAATGATCCATCTCCATAGAGTTTGATCACTGACACATATGAGGAAATAATTACAAATGGAAATGTGGAGAGGTTTCTCCTTAATGTGATTCCTTCTTTGCATAATAAGCAGAGTTCAGAACTCTTTAGCTAGCTTGTGGTCTTCCAAGAACCTATTCAAATCCCGAATTGGAGCCAATAAAAGATTTTTGTCTAACACACAAACATTCTGCGCACTTTTCTGCTGCCTGTTATGCTTTACTTAACATTTTCCTCTTCTTCAAAATTCTGAATCTATACATATGACTCTTGTATTTGAAAACAGTCTGTTTGATCAGAATGCAAGCTACACAGACAGAAGGCCAGTGAGTCTTGTTTTGAAAACCTGGCTTCTACCTTCATATTTTCATTTTATTAGGCATACCCAATTCTCTGCCTCTTAGAACGTAACAAAAAATCATCATAAAATTGCAAGTCCAACCATCAAGAGGTTTCCCTTAAACATAAAGCAGCATTACTCACTTGACTGTTACTCTGTTGGATGTATCCTGGAGGTCACTCGGGTCAAAGAGTTGAGATTCTTTAAGGCCAAGCTCTTTACAACCTCTCAAGAATAAGATAATATTATCCTGGAAGGAAGAAAAAACATCCAAGTCCATATTACTGTAGATTGTCATTATGGATCAGCTTTTCACTGTTAATGGCCCAAATTGCTGGAGGGAGATCATCCACTGAGCCTGCTCGAATCATGTCTAAATTATAGAGTGGTGCATAGTAAATTCATGCTTTGTTAGGAAATAAACAGACACTTAAACTTCCAAACACACAGTCATGCTAAATTCATTTTTCCACTTTAACTTCACACCTTTGTATAAGGCTTCAAGTAAAATGCCATTGTAAAGGAGAACTTAGCATCTTTTTAGGGAATAGTATTTTTTTAAGAGCCAGATATTCTACATTGCTTCAAAATTCCTTGTCCATATCTTCTTGCCTAGAACCAAATTCAAATTGATATTAAAGAAACAGTAATAACAGTTTTTACTACCCAAATGTTTTTCTAATCTTCACCAGGTTTTTCTTACATTACACCCTTATACATTCTTTACGGGTTTTGACTGATAATACCTTTCTGGACTATAAAATGAATTAAAAGCAAAACAAAAAACAAAAACAGACTTACTTGGGAGTGGGATAAAGACGAGCAAGGAAAGTTTCTGGAAATGGTGCAAAGTCTCCCTCAAAAGGAAAATTTCCCTAGTCGATAAAAATATACTTTGAACTAGCAGAGTCACAGGTAGGACCGGAATTGGACTGACAATTAAAGAAGGTTCTGTCTTCCTCTGCTGTGATTCATCAAGAATGAATGAATGGTTCTGAAAGAGGCTGAAGATGTGGGGCATCCTGGAGCTCCAGGGTATCTGCCAACAGGTTTATCAGTTACAAGTCTCTAACTTTTCTCTTCCTAAAAGACTTTGCAGGTGCCAGCTGACTCACCAGTTAGTGAAAACTACAGGACAGGGAATGGCAGCTGCAGGAGCCACATCAGCAAGAATCCACCAGCTACTGTCAGAAAGATGCTACATAGGTGTGGAACAACGATGGTGATCACTGAATCATGTACTCACCCAACTTCAGTCCAACAAAAAGACTAGAAAAGGTATTATTTCCAATTCCCCATTGTGTGAATTCTGCTTGACAATTTACATGCGAAATCTCCCCTTGACTGTGAGTGAAATCTATGCATATCTTGGGGGATCACTGTGTGGCTATATCCCTGACTAGATGGCTCTGAGTTAATCAAAAGAAAGGTGATGATTGGGCCTGAGGTAATGAAGGGGGAAAAAGAAGTCAGAGTTCCCACTGGCCATGAGTCCTACAGCTGCAAAGAGATGAATTCTGTTAACTACTATATGAGCTTCAGAAAGGCATAGAAGATGCTCAGACAGACTCTCAACTCCCATCAGCACCTTGATTTCAGCCTTGCGAGACTCTGAGCCAAGAACCCAGTTGTGCCATACCCAGGCTTCTGATCTACAGAAAATGTGAGATAGTAAAGTGTTAAGTTGTTAGGTTTCTGATAAATTTTAATGAAATAATAAAAATTAATGAACCCAGGCTCTGAACAATGATTATGAACAAGAGCAATATGTTTCTAACCTGTCTGCAGCCCATGTTACATGCCAGGCATTCTTCCAAGAGCTGTACATATATTAACCCATTTAATTGCTGCACAGTCTTATGAGGGTGGTACTATTCTTTCTTATCCTCATTCTACAGATGAGTGATCTGAGGCCAAAAACAATTAAGTGCATTGTCCAAGGTTATACAGCCAGTAAAGGATAGAGGCGGTAAAATAACATGGCATGTGCAAGGAGCTCAAGCAAGAAATCTGAGGTCAGCATCCCAAAATGAGGAGGCTATGGAGGTAGCATGACCACAAAGGGCTTGGAAGGCATGGAAGGCCGACTGCAGGGAGCCGGGTTGGGAGGGGTCGGCATTTAAGTCATGAAGGCCAGGGCTGGGGATTTAGCTCAGTGGCACTGCACCTGTCGTGCAAGCTCAAGGTCCTGAGTTCAGTCCCCAGTACCAAAAAAAAAAAAAAAAAGGACGTGAAGGCCAGATCTGTGGTGGTTGGAGATTGCTGGGCAGAGCCAGACAATATGAAGGAAGGACTTAAGAAGTGGGTAAGATAGGCAACCAGTCAGGAGACACTACAATCCCACTTTTCCCAACCAAGATGCCTCCATCCCAGAGTCTTTTCTTTCTTGCGTGAGGACTTGGGCTTTTTCAGCAGGTAGCACATGTCACCATCCATGGGACCTCTTGTCAGCTGACCTGTGAGCTGGTCACACTGTATCTGAAGTTGACCATACCTTTGCCTGTCTTTTCCTTATTTTCCACATTTTTAAATGATCAAATTTAGGAGTTCCCACCTACTCCCTGAATTTACAGTTTTCTACTTTCTTAGAGATATATTTTTTAGTGGTGAACTTTGAACTATGGAGAAAAGAAAGGGAAAGCAAGAGAAGGAAAAAAGGGGAGGCTAGAACTATATTGAGTCCTTTTTAAACGACCCAGGTTTTTCTACTTATACATTGATTGTCTTGTTAGTTAATTTAAATATAGCATATAAAGCATTTGTACCAATATTTCTATTACCATATGTGAAATAAACAATTTTCAATTCCTTTACAATCCTTTCTTCCCTAGTTAATTTTGTTATCATAAAACACCTCCATTTATCAGTGAACTTGGTATGTCAATGGAATTGCCTCTGTTCCCATACCCAAAGAACTTTGTCCCTGGAATTTGGCTGTTCTTATTGAAGGGAAGCAGTCTGAAGATGAAGAGCACGTGAGAATGTTTATATATAACTTACTGGACAGAAAAATGAGGAGGAAAAAGGAATAAAAGCACCAAACATTATTATCAGTATATTTATAAGCATGTATTATTGATCGAAAATTGCTACAATAAAGTATTGTTGAAAACTGGGCAAATACTTTGTCAATATGAGACAAAAGCCTCTTTTTTAAGTTATTGACTATTTTCAGTCAAGAGAGTAGGCGCAAGATCAATAAAAGTTTTAACAATCAGAAGACTATTTTTCACAATGATGTGAAGCAATTTATAATATCGACTAAATGTACCTTATATTCATTGTGGATTTACCATGTGCCTGGCTGTTCTATGACTGTATATGGGTTATCTTTTTCATTCTCAAAACAATCCAGGTGGCAGGTACCATTATGGTGTCCATTGTACAGATCAATAGTTGAGGCCCAGAGAAATTACATACCACACCCAGTCACCCGGCTCCTAATTCTGTCCTCAACTCAACACAAGTGGAAACAAGATGTCTCTATATGTGAAAAATTTAAGTCCCAAAAGTGACAATTCCTTCTCTCACCTCTCCAGTTTTTCTGGTGCCTTATTCTTTCTTCCTGAAATTGCAGTTTTAAGACTTTCTTTTTTCTTGCCTTTTTTCATTTGCTCTAATTTTCTCCTTTGTGCTTGCCTCCCTCGAGCATCCAAGTATGCCTACCCACATGTACAGGTACACACACACACACACACACACACACACACACACACACACACACAAAGATGCTTTTGTATTATTTGGCTCTGAGACTCTCAAAGGTACTCCTGGTTCTCACCCTGAACAATCCTGAGCAAACCATATTTGTAAAAGGGTGCACCCCACATTGGTAATCCCCCATTTCAGGAATAGTAAACAAATCCTTTAACTACTGAACAAGGCAACCCCAAACCAAGACAGTGACTCATACAGATGTTCAGGTGAGCTTTTAGGAGGACACAGTAGTGTCCTGGATTGGCCCGAAGACTCTGACTGCCTCTTGCCCAGAGGAAAGGAAAAGGATGGGTATTTTTGCTCTTTAGGAATCATGGGAAGACACAGCAAAGGAAAAGAGCTGTAACCCCTGTCCATAGTAGGTGTGTGATTGTGGGTCCCCAGATTTTTAGGAAAAGCAAGGAGGTGCTCTTCCTCTGTTCATTCCCAGAAGCACACACCACCCTGGCACCCGGCCACCATTCAGCACACAGCCTCCAAACACACTAGAACACTTAAATATCTGCAGGTCTATTTCCCGCTCCTTGCTGCAACCTAATGCTGCTGGAGGGGAGCCAGGCCCCAAGCAGGAGAAAGCCAGAAGGAAGAGCCACGCAGCCAAGAGCTAACAAGGACGCCACTGGAGCAGGCAAGGACCGCGCCTTTAATTACACAAAATTCTCATCTGCCTTGCTCTTCACACTGAGATTTTCCTCACATTTGCACTTTCAAGCAAAACCCACATCTTAATGTTTTAAGTTCAGAAGTCACATAATCTAGTAGTGTCTCAATCCCAAGGGAAAAGAAGTGGGAGACACTGATTTAGTACAATGACTTATATTTAGGTCTTACTAGTGCAGAGTTCACATACCCATTAAACTTAGTAATCTCTACGAGGAGTTTTTAAAGTACTTTTCAAAAGAGCCAATGTCACGTAAAAGCAAAAACTGGTGATTAATAAGCCATGTGAAGAACTGCAATATATGGTCCTTCACTGGAACCTATGTCTAAAAAGAAGTAAAGCTAAAAGTCAAATTTAAATATGGGCTGTATATTGAATAATATCATCAAATGAATATTACTTTCTTAGGTGTGATGATGATATAGGAGAGGATGCTTTTATTTACAAACATAAATATAAATTATTTAGGGGTGAGTCTATAATGTCTGTAAACATAACTTTCAACTGGCTCAGGTGAAGTGTGTGTGTGTGTGTGTGTGTGTGTGTGTGTGTGTATCTTCACAGAAGGGAGTAAAGAGGTTAGAAAGCAGGAAAGAAGGGAAGGAGGCAAGCAAGGAGGGGAAGAGAGAGACTCTATTTTTTCTATAGAGAGAAAGAAAAGAAAGCAAATATGGCCAAATGTTAACACTTGGTGAATCTAGATCAGCATCAGTAAACATTTTCTGTGAAGGGTCAGCTAGTAAATATCTGTGGGCCACGAAATAACTCCACCCCGTTTTTGTAACAGAACCTATGCAAGCAATATGTGTGTCTGTATTCTAGTATATTCCTACAAAAGCAGGCATGGGGCTAGATCTGGGCCACAGGAGAAG